ATATTGAATGAAGTGATGTCGAGTCCACGATTAGATATTCCGAAAACTGGTTTCATGATCTCGAAACGTGCAGAGTCAAGAAAAGCTTAAATCAGACTGAACACAATGCAGACTAATCACCAGCCGAGGTGCATGCGGAACTGACTCGAGCAGATTGGGAAAAATTTTAGAATGAAACAAGTCAATGCAGATTACTTGATCCTTTTTCCGTTCAATTAGAGTTGTGGTGGTGGCGATGGTGCCGTGGTTTAGCTGTTGTCACTAGTGTTTTGGACCCCATGGTTTGAAGTTTGAATCGCGATAACATCACCCAGCTGTGACAGGCAGCTTTGCTGTTTTCTGGTTCAATACTATGCCTAACCTTGCTGGGTTTTATGTGGTTCGCCACTAGAAATCCTAGGGCTTAGATCGCCGGTTTTCATCATTAAACAATGAGTCATCAAGACAATGGGGTCTACCTCGTCTGCTGTTTATCGCACAAGCCTGCTGTCTATCTTTGACTCAATCGACCATAGCACTTATTGGTATCTCCAACATCGCATTGCTCCTTGATGGTCAATTATAGTTCTCACACAGCCAAGCGCTACGTGTGGGACAAGAGTATGGAAAATCTTACTTAGCAGGGCTGATAAGGTGAAGTAAGGCACACATACTACTGTTTAATTTACTGCTTTCTACGATGTGCGACGTGGCGATGTTCACGGCCGTGCAAAACTTCGTTGATTGTACCCCAGAACACCTTCGAGATTTTGTCTATCGTTGATACGCTATATGCCGATATTCCGCTGAGAAGCCCTAAGCATACTGATACCACACAACCCTATCAAGACAAATGACAAAAACACTGGCAGTACCATTGCACACCCAACACCCTGCATACGATTATTGAAGCCAGCAAATCAAGTTAGGTTTGAAGATGAATAAGAGGATAAAATAATTCGACTCTTCGTCTCATTGAGGGAGCCTGTTAATATCACACAATATCAGATATCAAGATAGTAAGTAACAATGACGGGAAACCATTGAACTTACCCCGTTTATCAAAATAATCTCTGGAGTACTTTCCCGAAAGAGCAATGTTACGGGGAATGGGTCCAAGCAACTCAATGATGTGCGCCAGATGATCCTCATCTCTGGTGTAGTCCTCACCAGAATGTGGTTCAAACAAATAATCACCGGTGGCAAGCTCGAAGGCCTAAACAAAATGATTTATTACCAACAAAATTCATGTACATAGGTTCGATGTAATTAACATGATGCTTTTGTTCTCTAGTTAACGATTAAGCTCAATGACAGCAACCAATATCATCAAGTACATCACTATTTGAACGAATAAAAATAGGAAACCAATTTTTTCAAGATATACAGTGTTTCAAACTGCAGGCTTCGATTATCCATATCTACAGCAGTATGCCATAAAAGTTTGTACTTTTGGAATGACACAGTTGTTGCCCAGTAGCAATGAATTCCACAAAACTTTGGGATAAATGCGGATTCGTTTGTAACCCAATAGTTGAGTTAAATTCAAGACAACACACCAAAATGACTGTCAGTCTGCGCAAAACATCGCGAAGAACGGCTGATCGCAAATCGTTTATTGCATTTCCCCCTGTCAATTTGAAGTTTGTAGTCACGATTTGTTGGATTCGATTGCAACACAAGAAGAATGTTATCATTTTCTCAACGAGTTCGACCTATTTTCGATTTTGACACCATCGTGAGGGGAGATTCCGATGCTTACGAATGTGACACAAAATGTTTTGGAGTAGCCACAGGAAATACTATTGAACACCAAAAAACCCTCCACGAACTGAAACTCTAAATTATGCTCAAAGAAATAACAGGGAGCGAAGCACATTAAGGGTTTTCATTTACGTGATGGATTAATAACCAACGTAAGTGCGGGAGACATCTGATAAATACATTGCAATGTGTTCTGACCGCAGCTGACTTTCATGCCAAACTCGAATGTTTCTACATCCCGAATTCTCCAGGTACCCACTATGGAAAGCAAACGACCGGATAAGAAGAATCACTATCCAGTCGAATTTGTGGTCGCCTATATCAACCAGTGGTCCACTACCATACGCAATCGTGAAACAGAATCACGCAATGGATAAATCAATGTAATGCAGTTTGAATCGGTCCACTACCAGTGAATTGAACGACAGATGGGCTAAACCCGATAACCAAGAGGGGATACTGCTCGCATCAACATCCTTGTACCATAATTTGTTTGGCACACAATCTGTCCTTAAACAAGTGCGAAATATATACATATATACAGCCAAATATATTGAAGGGAACTTCAACGTAAGCAACCAAACTCAATGTACGTGAGAATGTGCGAGATGAACAGTGACTGGGCCTATCTGGAAGGAGGCAGAGTGAACAACACAGTACATAACCCAAATGTGCACACATACCTTTCCAAGCATTCTAAGTTCATAAATGACAAGAACGCCATTGCAATCGGCTGGTTTTCATATCCTTCAGTGTCACCAACCCACCAGTTGGAAAGCTTTTTGAACCCCGGAAAGGAAAACAGGGAGATACCTACTAACTAATTACTCTTAGTATTTTCCATGCCTCGTATCCATGTAATCCATGTAATCTAACCTAGAGCTGTGACTACTAGTACGGCGCGATGCGGTAGACGAAAACTTGGCATCGCTACGCATATCTTAGCAGCAAAGTTTATTCATGTGAATTTGCGGTGATAACTGATTCGCCGCCCTACCTCAGTGTTGTCTACAAGCTCACTTCATCTAATCTGCACCAAACTACAGAATCATCGACGACTGAAAGCATTTAGACGATGAACGCTTTCTAAGCACATTGGAATTTCGTGACCGCAAGGAAGAACTGATCGCAAAATGTTGTAGTACACGTGAGCTCTGTTTTAACGAAACATCAAGCGGTAGCAAAGATCTTTCAGTTCAGTACGCTGCCGATGCCCTAGAAATGCGGGCGGCTACATCTTTTACTACGGTACCGCCAGTTGTCGCGCGATAAACAATCCACTGCAACTGATTATTGACCAATAAGCTTTAGAGCCGGAGTAGACAACATCCATTTCTGCACCATCACTGCACTTAGGAAATGTTACAGGGATTAGGCTTCATTTGCACTGAGGAGAAGAACGTGCTCGTTTCTCTGGAGTCCTGCCGTGCAAGAAAGTAAATACAGTTGATCACATCAAGTATGAGAAAAGAGATAAATCGTTGGCTGGTGACAGTACTTAATCACGCGAACAACCGTAGACCAAAAACTGATCTATGCTCACATGGGCTAACTTTTACTTTGAATGAACATTCTGGTCGAAAATAATGTTATTGCGGCAGAATGACCACAAAGAGGCTTTGAGAAAGGGTCGGATGCCGGAACAGACTGTTTTAAGGGAAAATTACGAGATGAATTTCAAGGTGCTTGGAATACCACAAATGACAATCAGTTTACTGATTCGTTTTTTTACTTTGCCTTCATTCTGTCAGCAGCACACGAATCGACTCAGCACACCGCACTGTGTTATTGTGATGTGACTTCAATTGGATATCGTAAAAACTACCAGCGACAAGATTATCGTTTTTAGCCCTCACATCATTGACCATTATTGTTGTGCAGTGTTAATCCTACAGGAAAAGGTAATAAACTACTGTAAGTACAAATAATTCTGGAATGATAACTATGCCAGGAAAACGTAGCAAGTTCACTATTCAAGGGAGATTAACCCACACACTTAAAATTTCATTATAATAACTACCGGTTCATTTCTCTCACCTATTTTTTTTCTAAAGTACTTGAAACCGTCATCTCCAACCAAATGCGCGCGTACCCCGAACGTGAAGGACTACTGAGTGACCGCCAGTATGGTCTCTCTAGTGACCTCCTGGCTCTTGTTTCACAATCCTGGTCGGCTACACTCGATAACCACGGAGAAACGCACTTGGTCAGGCGTAATATTTCCAAGACTTTCGATCGAGTTTGGCACGAAGGTCTACTGGTAAAACGGCTCATGGTCGGGTTCACCCCGGCTTTTGTAGTGTGGACATCGTGTCCTCAGGGAGCGAACGATCTCCATCAGAGTTAATGGGGTTTTGTCTCAGCCGTTCCTTATGAATGTTGGTGCTTCCCAAGGTTCGGTGTATGTTACCACCCTCTTCTACTCATCAATGACTTCTTATCTAAAACTGGTAACTTACTGCATTCGTTTGCCGATAACGCACTCCTCACTGAGCCCCCTCCCAAATTAACATCGATAGAGCATGAACCCGTGTGGGAGCTTCTAGAGACCTGTCAAGTAAGGCCTTTGAATTTCGATTAGTTGTGTTGTTGATTATCGGCCCGCTGTTCGGGATCGGCCCTGAGCCTCATGCCCCCCATGAGAGTAGCGGAACGTAGACGGAACAGCACCTTATTGGCTGGGGGCTGCCCAGCTCGGGCGAACGGTAGCTGTCTAATGAAGTGCGAAAACCTCTCACCGTCGAGAGAGAGAGTCAAGTACCCCGCTCCTACGTCCATGGGGTTGTGACCGGTAAACTTCCCCTCACCGTGTTTATTTACTGGAGTGACCTCTCTAGTCGCTGGTGTGGATAGAAAAGGAAGCCAGGAGGTGCCCAAGCAGTTGGCCTTGTGAAACTGATCTTCATCTGGCCTCTACCTATTGACCTGTCAGACATGATTAGATCTGCGATTGTGAGGAGCTATCCTGTATAGCTCGCACGGTCATGGAGGCACGCAAGCCATCACACCATGTGGAGGCGCAATCTCGTCTTGATGGGTTCGAACTCAGACCTGGTATGAGGGTATGAAAACCGTATCCTGGACACAGGGTCACATAAGTCCTTTTAGGCTCCCTGGATGGGGATCACGAAATCAAGGCAACCAGAGGTTAGAGACACTGAGGCATATGACTGCGTCACAAACAGTTTCGCTCGTGAATCTAAGCATTATTCTTGCAACTCTAGTCTGTATGAATTCCTCGTCTTCCCCTTGAACTCGTTCTTAACATTCCAACACTCATGCTACCCTTTTATCCAAATGGGCGGCCAAAAGATATCAACCGAAACCGGCGCACGAAAGTGCACGGTTAATGGTTATGAAACAGAAAACCCACCTCCCACACACCAATCACTTTTTGATTCCACCCAGTTGTGTTCCATAGCTTGTTTCCCACCTTGGATTGTTTACAAGTTTATGTTAGTCTTATCTTGTATCTCAGCCTCAGTTTCGTGCGGCGAGCGAGGTTGTTTTTTATTACGCATCCGACGCTTCTTCACCTCAGCTCATCCACTATGCACAGCTCACATCCGCCCTGCTCTTGAATATTGCAGTCACGTGCGGAGTGGGGCTTCGTCTTCTTCTCTTTTCCTTCTTGATGGTGTTCAACCAAAGACCATCCGGCTAATCTCCAATCTGCAGTCATTGGTGACTTCACTGTCTCTTCCCTATCGTTACTACTTTTTTTGGTTTTTTCGGAGCTTGCCTCAGCGATGCTCCTTCCTGTAACTTCTGCCCGCCTATCTCGTACACAGAGATTAAATCATTTTTATCAGAATTCTGCCAAACGTCGTGTTCTCCACTAAAATCTTTTTGCTTCGAACTGTCGTATAGAACATCCACTTTCTGTCTCTTTTAAACTACAAAACCAAACTCTTACTGCAGGAACTATAATTTAGATATTACGTGAATGTCCCCGTACTCTCCCTTTTACTATAATTAACATTGCGTAACAAAAATTTCCCAAATGATGACAGGCCTGATGAAAACAAATTGGTAATCTTAGACAACTTCAAGTTGTTTCGTTTATCGATTGACTATTTAGATGGGACAACTTTAAAATGCAAGCATTTTGATTACGTCAACATGGAATGTAATTCAGTTCAATTCACGTACCATACAAGCAGTACTCCAAATATCAGCTGGAGGTCCGTAGCCTGATCCAATGAGTACTTCGAGCGCACGATATTGTCGAGTCTGTATATCCTCCGTAAAATGTTGGTAGATCCAACAGGCATTTCCCAGATCAGCAATTTTCACTTCAATGTTGCAAACCTAGGGTAAAAATGACCCATCGACACTTTGAATAAACTCTAATGGGAGTTCAGTGATGACAATATCGCATGAAGAAATTTACAGTCAGATTATCACCGAAAATACCGCTGAGATTCATTTTGGGAGGGAATCCAAGACAGATCCAAAAACGACTTATTGTAAACCAATTGAACTGAAAGTGACATCCAACAAAAAACTTCTTCATGAATAGTTCGTGCCACTAACTCATGGTTGTCCCGGGAGTTCGGGGGTTAGCTCACCTCCTTACTGGGGTCCGGCTCATTTATAACCGGTTCGAAAAGTAGAGATCGTCGCTTGTCTGCTGAGTTTTGTCCCGATGCTCCTACTGTTCTGGACATGACCAAGCTAGATCGTTTGGACTGTGAGCTTGAATTTGCAGATGACACCGGTTGTTTATCCTCGGAATCATTCTTTTGATTCAGTTGCTCAGGATTTGCTCGAACTTGATTGGGCTCGCCTTCATTTACCATTTCGTTTGAACGAGATAGAACACTTTTAGCATGTGACTGACTAGGCATCAACGAAGCCGTGGCTGCAAGCAAGCCAGCAGGCTGAATGATAATCGACCCGCGGTCGCCAGTAGCACTTGATTTCTGTGGCTCTGTCACTGACGCTACGTCAGCGAAATCCACGTTGTCTGCCGCACCGGAATGATCTGGAGGTTGTTTGACGCGACGTTTTAGATGAACTCCGGCATCCTTGCCCTTATCGTCAGATGTGTCCTGATAGAAGACAAGTTCAGTGTGAATAGAATTAACGCCAGCTGTATAGAAAATCTTACCCGGAGGATTAGTTTGAATCAAGTAATTAGTAATAGATTGAACAAAAGAGATCACAAGGAAAAAGGGTCATGAATTGTTCTTTTTATATCACTAAGCGAACGAGAATAATCAGGTTTTGGGTAAAACCTAATGTTAATAGCACTTTGGCATTACTGTGCAGTAGAAGCTAATTGACATCCATGTATAAAACGAGGTTCTCCAATGCTCTAGTGTCAGTGTTGGGTGGAATGAAAGGGGTTTTTTAGTTGAAACGGAATTACACCACCGCAATAAAATAATTGATGACCGGGAGTGGAATGCACTTATCAACCTATTATTGCGCAATTTATTACATGAAAATAAGGTGCAATGAACTTTCTTCAATGCATATCCACAACATACAAGTATTTACTGGAGAATCCCGGTTAGACTTTGAGCTTGGGTTATTCAACTAAGTCTGAATATCTATTTGCCGGACTTCGTAAGTCGGTTCATGCCTGCTAGGGTCAATGAAAGCGACCCAGTGAGTTCGATTGTTTNTTCCGTCACGGAAACCGGTAATCTAAGCCCCCAGACTCGGAGTGGCGAACCACATATGGCCGCGACAGGTTAGGCGTGGTATTGAATCGGACGACAGAAAAGCTGTCTACCACCAAAGTTGTGGTGGTGGCGGGGTTCGAACGTCGGATCATAGGATCCAAAGCACGCCAGTGAGAGCAACTAAACTACTGCGCCACCACCACGTTGAACATGAACAAATNTGAACAAATAGTCTGCATATAACATTTACATTTTAGGAATTATTGATTGTCGTAGCGATATTTAACTTATCGAAGCGAGTGCCAGTGGTGTATCGTGGAAATGGCGAAAATATACAACGGGAAAAACAGCCAGTACCTGTGCACTGTCATCCGATAGCCCATTCTCTTCCGACCGTCGGTGCATTCTGTCTCGTTCTCTGTGTCCCTCATTTTCAGCCGGTCCGTTATCGGCATTCTTCGGCGTGTCATCAGAGGTCATGGACTCAGCTGCGACCGATCCTGCAGAAAAAAGATGGTTACCAAACGAAAAAGTAAAAAAAATTCAAAATTGGTACTTCGTGAATGACTTGACAGCGGAATAAAAACTGAATCTGAATACTCTAGTTACCTTGTCAAAATTATTAACAGATGTTTGTGCATCTGTTACTTCCTGTGAGTAAAACTTTCTTTCTGAATAGCACTGAGCCTAACAAAGTGACGTCGTCTACGCTCGAATTCGACGTGTCACAGCCACAAAGCAGAGCTCACCGAAAGTTGACTCAACATACGTGACGCTACACCTCCAGTGAGACATCACGTCATTGTTAATGATAACTCAGTCTTGCGCTATGTTGCTCATGCCTTGGAAATGTGCTGTTAGTTCCTTGATTGCGTTTCCCCCCATGGTCACGCAACTGTCTAGGTAGGAGAAGCAATCAGTTAAAACCAATTTTTATTCATATAGTTTCAAAGGCCTCAGTATAGTCGGGGGTGGGTGTCCAGGGTTGCGACTGGTCACCCTGCCCTTGCACTTCACGAAACGCTCCCATACGACCAAGGGTCTCAACTAGCCTCTACTGAGGAAGCCCTACTCACTGCCTTCTCGCGGCGATGTTTTCCCACCAAAGTGAGGGGACGAAATGCCGACATCCGGGGCCATAACCGGGTTGGTGGACCAATGGTAGTTCACCTAGGGGAGTTGGCCAAAAACCCTGATTCCAAAACTACCATGAGGAGGCGTACGAGCTACGCACAACTTCCTGGTTGTGACAGTGGTTACCGGCTCGATTGGGCATCGAGGTGTATTGGGCACCTTGAACGTTTGACCCAGTCCGAAGGGCGTATGATCCGATGAACTGGACACCGGCTTCCAATGGACTGCGGTTCTCACACACCGCCCCGCTGTCTTGCGGGTCAGGCTTTGGCTAACCGAAGGCTCTGGTTGTGTATTCCTCAAGAAAATTCACCTGCCTTGACCTGGGCAACTTGGCATTAGTCCGCAGTACTCAGCCCACAAGCCAATCATGGAACATTTTCTTTTTGTACCATGATTTTTTTGGCACACAGTCCGTCCTCAGACAAGTATGAAATATAATATTATAATAATAAAGCATGATTAGAAAAAAACCTTGTGTTATCACTTTGCAACTAGAAAGTACTAACCACACGTAAAAAGAGTAGCAGATCTTACTTGTCTGCGAAGTGTGCTTGCGTTCATTCTATACATTCGAAAAGCCATATGATGTCGTCAGCGTAATGTACTTCAAGCCAAACAGTTCTCTACTTGGAGCGTTTTCTATTAATTCGTCGTCGAAGAAACTGAACCGGAATAGTGAAATGAAGCAAACTTGGCGAACACCGGTGCTCTTGAAAAACGAGTCATTGAGTCATCTTCAAACACGAGTCTATTGGGGAAGCCGGACGAACAAGGCTGAGGTTAGGCGGAGAGTTTTAGCTAATCGCGGTCATCCACTGGAACAAACGGTCGGCTTTCATAGACTACGGTGTTTGGGGCATGTGCCTCGCATGTCAACTAACAGGTAGTCCGGTGAGCTGTTTGCCGAGGCATGTTGCGAATTTTTTTTATTACACACCTTCGTGTGATGAATAGCAGACGGGGTGAACCCTATAGTCATGAGGATCTGCTGTTCAGTGGTGGAAACCGGTAACCTAAGCCCCCGGACTTGGAGTGGCGAACCACATAAGGCCCCGATAGGTTAGGTGTGATATTGAACCGGGTGACAGCAGAGCTGCCTACCACCAAAGTTAGGTGGCGGTGGTGGGGCTCAAACCTCGGACCATCGGGCCCAAAGCACGCCGGTGGCAGCGACCAAATCACTGCGCCACCACCACCCCACTCGTTCTTATAGCGTCGTATTTTAAGGCCTGGCACCAACATGCCTAACCAATACATTTATAATTGTTATTGGACATAAAACATTTTTAGGTAACCGCGACAAGAGTTTTATTTATACTTTCAATACCTCAGATTTTACTTCACTATGGGGTATAATCTGTTAGCCTTTTGGTAAGTTCTAGTTCTATTTAACGTTTCGGTTTGCTGATTGAAATATTTCCAAATATCAATTCACATTTCCCTCCTTTATAAGCAATTGATGGTACTGTACCATCACCATATTCTCATCTTCAACGTGAACATGAATATTGGTGTTCATCACAATATGCACATATTCTTTTCTCTTTTACATCCCCTAGGATGTATGTCCCGGATGGGGTGATGATGCAGACATTTTGGCGGCGTTACGCGTTAGCAATTACAATGTGGACGACTGTGTGAACACATACCATAGCAGCATCGGTCGAGACGAAACGTTCACACCTCCACTGGTGGGTTCAAGCAGAAGTGCAGTGAAGTCTTCTAGCCACCGATCAATATTAAGCTCCAAGCCTAAATCTCAAGACACAGGAGATGATGCGCACCGTGAACTGAGTGCAGAAATTGAGAAATTGGTGAGCTAAACATGAAAGACCTGATTTATTGAGAAGCTTTCTTTGAAATTAAATTGTCATAAAGATACAATCGATTGTATACAGTCTCACCCCATCCTCTTGTTTTCTACGCCACTGTTTGATCTGGTATTTTTCAGACTACTGTTTACGGCTCGGTGAAGATATGAGTTAGTTGCAAATCATGGTACAATAGCAAAAACTTTCCGCGATTTGCATGTGGGCCGAACACTGCCAGGTTGCTAGTGTATCCATTTTCGGCATGCGTTTTGTACTTTCCAAGTGCAAGATGCTACTATATGACCGGCTTGGTACAGCTCCCAGTCTCACTTTAACTGGGGGAGTAATAGGGCAAGTGGACATTTTTAGGCAGCTATATTCCACCCGGCAGACGCAACACGGATGAAGTTTCGGTTCTCGTATAGAAGGGTCAATTGCCATTTGCCAACTTGAGAAATCTGTGGTGCCGTCGCGTCATCTGACGGTCCATGAATGGTCGGGTTTATGATGCAGCAGTTCGGCCAGTTCTGCTATACGGCATAGATACCTGACCATTAAGAAAACAGGATAATGTTATACTGTCGGTGCTTGAGTACCGCTGTCTACGACGCATTGCACGAATCTCGTGAAGCAACCGGACGAACGATTTCGATTTTGCGCACAGAGTTTTCGGTAATCACGGTTGCCCACTATGGCTAGTGATCGACCCTCATAGACTACGTTGGCTGGGATATCTGTTACTCATGCCACCAAATAAATTGCCACGAAGTGCGGTGTTTGTCGAGGTAGGTAGTGAGTGGATAAAAACCAAGGCGATCTAGCTACTACCTGGCGTAAGGTTATGAAACTCCTGACCAGCAGACTCGGTGAGGTAAGTCGCATTAGGCTTCATGGATGTGGACCTCAGGATCATTGTAAACAATGGTCACAGACACGGAGTGATGTGGCTAACTGTCGTAAACGGTGGCGCTCGTGCATCGTCTCCATTTCTTTGCAAGCTTGATCCACCGGAATTCTCCAATTTCTCTTCGAATCTACTTTCAATTTTCCAATCGTTCTTATACCCTAAAGACAACAATCGAAACCGGCGCCCGAAAAGGCATGGTTAACGGATGTATAAACTGAGACTGAAACTGACGTCATTGCATCACCTTGAGGTGCGCATTGTGATGGCAGTTGTTCCTGCTAAGAATCTTTACCTAACCTCTTCCATTAAGACCACATTTGTAGCATAAATTGAGAACCAGTAACGGCAAATTTATGTTTTAAGGTTTGCTTGCAAAGTGATTCTTCAAATATTATTGAATTATCCTTCGCTATTGTGTTCTGTTTTTTGCAAAAGGCCATCGATTACGAGAAAGAAAGAGTTAGTGGTCAAATGAGTGTCGTTCACGAAAACCAGGTCATTTAATTGCATCTCTTCCTACTTTAGCAATTTTGAGCATATGCCAAGATGGTTGGATGAACTTGTGTGTTCTGTCCCGATGAGCAGGAGTCCTCAATTTTGTGTTCAATAGTGTGTAGTGTGACGCATCATTTGTTTTTCGTTGCTCAGTAATCATTATTCAAACTGAAACGCCTACTTTGGATTGTATTACATTAGGGTTAAATAAAAGTCTACATCTAAAAAGAAATATGTCAAGTACAGAACGGTAAAAATTTAAATGAAAACGTTGTCAAATGGTAGGCAGCCAACTAAACGTGATTCCGTGTGTTTGTAAAACTGCGGTCGTTGTTTAGAGCCTGAATTGCGATATCTGTTCAAAATCCTAGCAAACTGCGGATCCTTTTGCTCCATTTCGCGCTCTTTATCTTTTCGATTCATGTTTTGTTTGCTCAAAATCCCATGAAAAATATCATGTAAAGAAATAATTTCTCCATCACAAACCCATATATACATATTCATTGAAGAATCAATACCATGATTCGACGTTTTTTCTGTGGATTAGATGCTGGTAACCGCAACAACCGTGACTTTAGCGTCTTTATATAATATTTCATAATGGATTGGCTTTGAAATAGCTGTCTCTCCAAAAACCACCCGGTGTTGCAAACAAGGTAATTGTAACGGAAATATACTTCCTGGGTACAAGTATATGAATAAGTTGACAAACGATTACCGGATACGCATGCCTGACGAGCGAGAAGTACGACGAAACCGGTCAATTATGTACTATTTATTATGTAATATATATATATATAATTCCAATTCTTCCGAAATATGTACACATTATTGTGAGATATGAACAAGTAATGGTAGGGACATTTAAAACAGTTATTTTTGATACCATTCACAATGTTTAGCAAAGAGTACCTGAATGCATAAAACGTTAAATGTATTTAAGTGAACCTATATCTTTGAAGCGATTCATTTTTATTCCTGCGTTGTCCACCGACCTTCTTCCACCGCAGAAAAATCAACTCTCTGCAATTGCGCTTGATCTTTCCAAGGAGAAAAACGCTCATGAGCAGTTAAAAGTGAGTTAACCTCGTTCTATATAAGTCTTACTTCATGACATATCACCGCCACGGTAAAATTGTGGTGTGATGGCTTGTGCACCTTCCTGACCCAACGAGCTACACAGTATGGCTTTTTTCAAGCCGAAGATCTAGTCATGCCTGGAAGGTCGAAAGGTAGACGAAGTCCAGTCTTTTGGTCCTCCAGGTTTTGGGTTCGATTAGAATTGGCGTTTCAGTCGCTAAAAAAGTCGTTAAAACAGATCAATTCAATGGGCCTCCATTTCGTTCAACCCTCTGTCTTGTGGTTAGTTTCTTGTTAGAACTAAAGACTTTGGTTGAGAACCCTATTTGTCCTCCTGCTTCGTGGCTTGACTCCCTAAAATTACCCGTCCATTAAACCCCGATGCATACACAAACTAAAAATAGTTCCATACTGCATCGGTCGTCGCGCAGGACAATCAGGACCGCGCCCATTTTATAGAGTCAGGTGGGTAGTGATAAGTGGGCTACTGATCAGATATTCCAACCCCTGTTTAATGCTTTGTCTTCCGTACACATCCCTCTCCATTGGCTCCTTCTTCCGACTTGTAATAGTCCCCCAAGCAACTTGGATATCGCTCGCCAAAGGTCGTTGCTAGATAGTACTGTGACGTATCACGAAATGGATTGCAGATTCTGAAGCCTCATCAGTCAATGAATCTGGGGACCTTTAATGTGAGGACTCTGGCGCGTACCACGTAATCCTTAGGAATCGATATTCGCTGCACATCAGGATCCTAATACTATAAGCAACTTGGCTTTGAGGTACGTTCTTCGCACATCCGGTGACGATGAAACCCGTTCAGTAGGTCAGTGTGGGGTCTCCAAATCGTAGATAGTGAATGGGCAACTGAAGAAAAGCTGCGCGATTTAGAGTACGCTGATGACGTCGTCTGTCTGTTCGAATGTATGGAGGACGCGCAAAGCGCTCTTGTCAGACTGTCAAGTTCTGTTATCGCATTCGGTATGTTCTTTGCACTTTCAAAGTGCAAAGTGATGCAGCAAGACTGGATGCCGCCCATTCCGCTTTGAAACTCAATGACCACTTTAAGTGGATTGCTTNGTAGTTGTGTGATCAACGGTGGTAACGAAGCCAAGGGGATGGCCGTAACTATTTCCCAGGCTCGAGCAACGCACGCAGGAATGAAACACCTGTAGCGTAGACGTGACGTTTCACTAAGGTTGAACGATCGTGTATATTGTGCTACTATTCGTTCAGTTCTGCTTTATGGTTGCGAGAACTTGAATTTTTGAGTAGAATATATCCATCAACTAGAGGTTTTCGATTATCGGCGTTTAAGTAGTTTAGCAACCGATTAGTAATCTGGAGGTATACAGTCGTGTGTTTGGGATTTTACCTGCTAACTCATCGGATTCAGATCAGTAGACGTACTGCACGTATTGCGTATGCCCAGCTATCGTCTACCGCAACAAGCTATATCCGTTGTAGCCACTCCGGGCTGAAAGAAACCCCGTGGAGGTCGACAAACCACGTGGAGACGGGGCATAACGAAATACACAGAGCTACTAGGTGGGGTGGATTTCTCGCCTTTCGACCAGGGGTTCTAAAGACTGGAACAGTTTGGCTGAAGACTTTGAAGGATGATGATGACTTATCACGTATTGCTTTTTTGTGAAAGAACAGGAATATAACTTGAATTTTCAAAATCTTTGGCTCATAATTGTTTTTTCCATTTAGATGTAGGTTTCGTTAAGCAATAAATATTGTCTGTTTGGGTGCTTCATTTGCCGCTGGTATGAACACTAATGTCTAAGTGTGTTGTGTCTCGCAAAATTATCACCGAACCTGGTCCCACGATGCGTATTCCAACGATTCCAGTTAAAAGACAGTTACAAACAGTCCTAGTCTTTATTGCTAGTGCCAACCAAACGTGGGTTGAAAAAAGGGTAAACGTGCGGTATATATGTGGTTGATCACAGTTTAGTCATTTGCCTAGTATCGGGTTAGGAGAGCACCGATAGAGAGGTTGTACGAGGGAGGTTGCCGTTATCCGTTCATCACCCTCGAGAAAACTTCGACACGTTCTCGCGTGGGCGGCTAATCCCAACCCATTGCAAATTCAGACTTGAAGAGCGAGCACAACAACGCTAGATTTCACGATTTATGCCAGTGCAGATTTTGCTGCATCTCAACTGGTACAATACGGCAGAATACTCCAGTTTATATCGTTGTACAGTACATCAGGTTACTCACGAATACGACAGGGACGAATCATCACACTTTTACCACTGCCAAGGCAGTGACAGTGTGATTGACAGTTCTTTTTGCACACACAGGTCAGGTTTCCATTTCATGATTGCAACCGACTCCGCAAGCAACTCGGGGGTTGGTGTTAGCATAAATGATTGTAAATCGGTTTGTAAGGTCCGTAACATGATTTGTCATCAGCTAATGTCGAGCGATAGATGACGCAGGCTGTTTGCCTTCGGTGTTCTTGGGTTAGGGTGGGGTTGGCGTGTAAGTGATGGGTAATGCGTATGTGTGGGGATTTGAGGGGTCAAATTGGTGAATGACCTTTGATCATGTGATTCGGTCAATCGACGTCTAATGCAATATGGGATGTGCTCCTGGATCCCTGTATGCAACTGCCTCTCTGTTCGAGAGCTTCTGTTTTGACACAGTGAACAAAACCAAACACTGTGCTCAAACTATTACACAGATCTTTTGATTATGCTGTGAATGAGTCAAACTTTCCTGTCGATGCTTCTAAATATGTTTTAAACCTGTCGAATATTAGTCTAACAACAATGCAGAAAGAAGCGCTGTCTCGTGGGGCTGAAGTTTTGTATCACACCTGGGAAAGTGATGTCGATTACAACGCAGACGCGGTTTGAGTATTTTTCAACGAACTTGCTTTCTTAGGAGTAACATAGGAAGAAAACAAAGGATGGCTAAAAACGAAGCTCATTGATTTGGAGCATCATTACCGGGTAACTTTGGTGACACAAAGTTCTCAGTAAGTGAGGAACACAGACGCAATATGATCACTGAATTCCGATAATTGTTTGGTGATCGTCCCGCGTAACAAACTGCTCTGGGGTCGTGGTCATGGACCGAGCGAAATACATTGAGAAAAATTCACCTATTCTGGTAGACACTTCGCAAGTTCGTGCTGAAATGAAAACTGATAATTCAGCAACAATAAAAAACGCGTCAAAAAGAGTTGCAAACATTACTGGAAGGCTGATTCATCAGTGACATCAATTTCAAGTCATTCAAACCGGTTGTCAGCACTATATCTCACTTGTATGATCTCCCTAAGACACGTGAGGCAGGAATTCCACTCAAACCTATCGATGATAAATTTTCCATAGCACAAGCTGTCAAAATGGTTGACAGTTGTTGAAGCCAGTTCAGGATCGTATTTGTAAATATAACGGAAAGTATAGTTTCGAACTAGTTGAACTAATAGACGATTTAAAGATTAAAGATATATTCTTGGCTTCTATCAATATTGAATCACTATTCACTAACGTGCCACTGCGTGGGACAATCGAATACACTTTGCAGTAAACCCAGCAGCCTAACCTGAAATTTGGCTCAGCGGGAACGTCTCTTGCTCTTATGCGCACCAGATTTCAGTTTCTAAGGTAAAGCCTATCGACAAATAGACGGTGTGGCTCCTTGAGGCCCATCCTCGTAAACTTAGTCGTTACGAAGCTAGGCGGCACATATCTCAGACCAGTTTACATTATTTAGAAGATACGTTGATGATTTATTCATCACAGGACAAAACCGACAATATCTAACTTCTTCCCTTCGGGTCATGAACAGTTTGCACAAGCATATACATTTCTCCCTGGAAGAGGAACAAAACGATCGCCTCGCATTGTTTGACATTTGTAGTCCGTGAATGAGTATAAAGCATGGTCAAGTCCAGAGTCGTATTTAGTTTTGGCAATTTCCCGGCATGGATGTAGGATGTTGCCAACAGATAGTTGGTTCAGGAATAACTACTTTTCTGTAATGAATTACTAAAACATAATGTCCTAATCTGGGATTGTTCCAGATTGCTTATCAACACGAGAGGAAGAAACGGGAAACAAAGGTTATAGAAAAAGTAATCACACCACTGCGGCTTGACCAGCCACTGCAGCAGTTGAAAGTCTTCTGCCAAGACGTTCGTGATATACTCCATGGAAGCAAACATCTCGTGGAAGATTTTGTCAACACGGTAAGTCCCATAGCTCTGTTAATTTACTACAGTCTGGCGTCAGACGTGCGATATATATATATATAGTTTTCCAAAAATGAATTATGGATGATACATTGCAAAGGAGGAAATCACAATTTTCCACTTTGTTCAGTCCTTTTGGCGTTTAATTTTTATTCTATTTATCTGGTCCTTTTAGTTTCACGTGTTCTGTTGTGCCGATCTGGTAAAAATAGTTTCCAAATCTGTTGTGATACACTTTTTCTGGTCATGTTTCAATATCTAACGGTTGGCTCAATTACGTTCACTCCAACTGTTTATTACCATCGTTTGGTGCATGCCTTCAGCTTTCCTGTTTACATAAAGAAATTGATCTTGTTGAATAAATTCTGTTCAGATATCGTGACAAGGAGCACTGTCGGACACTACGCCCTTTGGATGACAATACCAATGCACTCAGTTCCTAACTGAACCAGTTCTGAAGTTGGTTCGTAAGGGTGGTTGGAACTCAGTATTTATCACGTCCACTCGATGAGCCTGCTGACTATGGCTAGCCAACCCAATGCTGGCCCCCGAGATTGGCTTTCGATCTCTAACCCCATCCACGAGAATGCAAAATTTCGAATGTCTGCAGCAGAAGTTGCGAACGCATTCTGCAAGGAAATTAAGATGGTTTGCTCCGTTTACTAAAAGTCCACTACCGTTAGCGCCGGGTCATTTTAAGTGTTTTGAAATGTAATGTAATGTATTAGTGTGGTCAATCCAGGACTAGTATAAAATCCTACATGGAATTTATGCCCCAGTAGAAAAGAAGAACTGGTGTATACTACAGATTAGAATACTCGAAGCAATTAACAGTGTACTAATGCGATCCCGGTAGTCACATGTAATATCACAAAATTTACCCGCAATTTAGGCGAGTGGTAACACGTTTGTGCTTTTTATTGAATCTCTCTTCTACGAATGCCAACGCGTAGCAAACAAATTTGTTTGGTCCTAGCAAGGGAAGAGGCACTGTTTTCTTTTTTCCGGTATTCGTTCACTTCCTTTCATCGAATACATGATAGTATAAGCAATCCTCTGGAAGATGAAAGCGATCAGTTAATGAGCTGTTATGTGGGTTAACACAGGAAGAGAAATGAGCCGGCGGCGGTAGAGTTCAATTGCGTGATATTTGGGAAGACTGGTGGATGACCTTAATCGCTTTTTATTTATAAGGAGCGTTCTTTCTTTTTTAACATTATCTGTCTTGGTGACAGTTTTGTCATTGCGTTAATCTTCTATCACAATCAGTGTTTTACTCCACTTGTTCACTTTCTGGGTAGAAATGACATCACTTCCAGCACTGTCAACTTACTAGTAGTCAATGAAAGCTGTTTGAAAACACTGCATTTCTGTTTGTTCGTAGCTAGTTCCCCTTATCAAGCGAGGTCATCGTATATTCTACGAGCAAAATGAACGTCTCTTGGATACTCAAGCCCTCTACCGTCTGGAAGCCCAACAACGCAGATTGACCTATAACACACTGATCGAACTGCGCGGGAATATTCGCGTATACTGTCGCATCCGGCCGATGGATACGATCAATAGCAATCCTACTTGGCTTAGTGCAAATGAGAATGGAGAGTTAATTGCTTATCTACCGAATGCGGGAAGACGGAAATTTCAGTTCGACCATGTGTTCCATGTAGAAGCCACTCAGGAGGATGTGAGTTTACACCATTTTCCGCAACCTGGCTTCTCAAACATATCAGGTCTTGTGTATGTGGCACAGTTTACTAATCTCGTGATAACTGACGTGTTATGAATGTATTTTACGTAAAATGAAAGATTGCTGAACGACTTTTTCATTCTTTTTGGGGCTCATCAGCAAGACGTAACAAAATTTTACTCCTGGTGGGACCAAAACTATACACCTTCCCATTGACAACCGACACTTCCATCTCATATCCACACTGTCAACGATCATCACATTAGGCGCATAGTTATGTGAATGGAATGTGGAATAATCTTACATCCTTCATGCAGCTCCACAGATATTAGAGTCTGGTTATTACAGTTCTGGTGTTGAGTTCTCTCTGGAATTCGTTGTTTGGTTTAATCGTCAAGTTAGTTTTTCTATACCGCCTGTTAGATACTACCTCTGAAATTACTTCCATCAGACACTGGGTTCTGGTTTATTTTCCATGGGCAGTGCTTTTCTAGATAGAATAAACTGATTTCCTTCAATACTACACTACCGGAGGCATCCAAAAACATGCCATGGCGCAATATTTCATCCCGTTTGTTGTTTCCAAGAGCTGTAAGATGCAAGATGTGATCCGATAGAGAACTGCTGAAGGCGAATGACCCCAACGTTGTAATAATTGACACACCGGTTTAATTTTAAACAAATTTAAACAAATTGAACGATAACCCAGTTCCTTATGACGAAATGAATTTAAGGAAACGGGACAAACTTACATGGAATTTTGTAGTGAAATAAACAGGTTAGGTAAGCGAACAGTTCAAAGTACAAAATACACTTTTGGCAGGTATTAGTAAATACTGTGAGGAGAAATAGAAACACATCAGTTATTAAATACGCTGCGGTACAGAATACATTTTTGTATACGTTCAAACCGTTAGAAAAGAGAGCGTATATCGTGCCTTGATTATTCCTGAAGTTGTTCCCTAGCTACTCGCGATCGT